TACCCACCTGAAAGTGTCCTAGACTGTAGGCTTCTTGTGAAAGAGTCATGAGCAAGCTTGCAAGCCGCGCAGGAAGTCAAGTAAGATAGCCTTCTGGCCGGTAATAAGGCTACATACATAACCCCTATCTAAGCCTCGGGTAGAAGCCCCCCAAATTATCTCACCTACTTAGCACTCGCCCCGCGATGCGGTAATTATAGAAGTATCCCACACTTGCCCGAAACCCTAAAGCCCTATTGCCCTAAACCCTAAGGCCGCACACACACGACGAATTCTTTATGAGATCTGAGTCATTATGTGCCCTGCGGCACATTCAAATATCGGAGCACCTTCAGGGCTGCGACCTATAAAAAAAAAGGTTGCTTCGCCAAACCCCAAACCCGGGGGCTCATGCCCAAGCCCCTGTGCTTAAAAGACGGTGCCTCCTGCTTCTTCCAGTCCAACTGCAGAACCACCTGATGGCTTGAAGAACTCAGGGTTCCCACCATCTTAGGGTTCCTTATGATAATTGGGAAATGGTTTTGGGGGTATGTTGGAGTGTAAACAAGGAACAAGGAATGAGCCGGGTACTTCTGCCAGCTTCGATGGATTGTCAATGTATGCGGTTTATCGTCCGCTTTCGCCGGATAGGGGTGGAAACATAGATGTGCAATTCGGGAGAGGGAAATCACTGCGGCGATGGCTTACCTTTAAAACTCCAAACCCCAAACCCCTCTCCTAACCTTACATCCCTTCATAAAACCCCAAACCCCTCTTCTTGAGACCGATCATAGTCGCACCTGTGTCTCCCTGCGATGCCGTCACGCATCTGAGGTTTCCTCATCACCTGTCCTTATAAACACAAGTCCGGAAACCAAAACAAAGAGCGAGTCTGGGACATAAGCCGAATCTCTAGGCACCAAATTTAAATTTTTTTTCTCTGCCCAGAAATCTGACCCCCGAGGTGACGTTCCTCGTACCACTCGCCATCGTTCCAGCGCCCAAGAGCCTCACCGCACATGTTCCGCGTGCCGAAAAAACTTACCTCTAAACGCCATACGCCCTAAACCCTAAAGTAGCCCCTAAACTCCAGACCTCAACATAAAAACCAATGCCTAGACTCTACTTGCGACTATGCATTGGAGCCGAAAGCAAGCACCTAGGCAAAAGCCTGAACCGGAACGGGCAACGCTTCAGACATTGAGGTACCAAAAACCCTTCGGAGAATAGTATTTTGGACCTAGAACCCGACTATTTGAGTACATACACGAACTGCACCGACAATGAATCCTCATATAGACGATACAGAAAAGTACTTACACATTGCAGTCTGTAAGTAAAGTAAACCCCCAAAAGTTGGAAACCGGATTAAGGACACTTCGTGCTGTGATTCCCTATACACTACTCTTATGTCTTAAGGATTGAGGCTATTGGGTTCCCACTTTTGGGGAACCCTAAACCCTAAGCCCCTGTACTTTTGACCCGTGGATCTCTGTGAGCCAGGGCGCCACGTCTGCCGCGCCGCCGCTGCCCGCGAAAATCGTCCGCCCCGTGGAGTCGTAGGTGAAGTACACACTGATCAACTCCAGTGGCCTTTATAGGGTTTAGGGTTTAGGGGGGTTTAGGGTTTATAGATGTAGGGTTTAGGGTTTAGGGGGCTTTAGGGGCCTTTAGGTGTAGGGTTTAGGGGGTTTAAGGGGCCTTCAGGTGTAGGGTTTAGGGTTTAGGGTTTAGGGGGTTTTAAGGGTTTTAGGCGTTTTAGGTGTAGGGTTTAGGGTTTAGGGCGTTTTACATTCAGGGCTTATGAGGTTGAA